TTCCAAAGTCTCAAAAATATCAAATTATTTATAACTGTCATGATACTAGTACTGCTTCTCATTTAGGTTATTTCAAAACTTTTTCTAGAGTCAGTTTGCAATACTATTGGCCTAAAATGCGAAACGATATTTATAAATATGTAAAATCCTGTAAAGTGTGTTGTGCTCAAAAGGCACCAAATTACAAAAAATTCGGTTTGATGGGAGTTGAAAGGAAAGTTAGATTTCCGTTCCAAACAATCGCTTTAGATTGTGTCGGACCTTTTCCTAGGAGTAAAAATGGATTCACGCAACTGCTAGTTGTCAGTGATTGGTTCACAAAATACACTTTAATTTTTCCTTTAAGGAAAGCCACTGCAAAAACTATTTGTAGAATTTTAGAGAACGATGTTTTCCTAATTTATGGTGTTCCACAAAGTGTACTATGTGACAATGCGAAAAACCTTGCTAGTAAAGAACTGAAAAAACTTTTAGAAAAGTACCAGACACATCTAAATTTAACACCTTTTTATCATCCTCAGACTAATTATGTAGAAAGAAATAATAGAACAATAGAAACAGCTATCAGGAGTTACATTAAAGATAATCATAGAACATGGGATGAACATTTGGGACAGATTGGTTTTGCAATAAGAACAGCTGTTCATGAAATAACTGGATATAGCCCTGCTTTTCTGATGTTTGGTCGAGAGTTGCCATGTACAGGTAAATATTATGGTAAAGCAGGAGATATTTTAGATTTAGGGAGCAGAGATTATTGGGGTAAAAATCTGGGTAATATGAAAAAATTATATGAGGATGTTCAAGAAAAGATAAATGCAGGATATAAGAAAAATACTAAGTATTATAATCTTCGGCGGCGAGAAAAAGAATTTTTCGTTGGCGAGAAAGTGTGGCGCAGAAACCACGTTTTATCAAAAGCAGCTGAAGGTTTTGCGAAAAAGCTAGCTCCAAGGTATGTACTATGTACCGTATCTAAAAAAAAGTCTAAATTAGTTTATGAACTAATTAATGAAGACGGTTCCAAAGCAGGAACTTACCACATTCAGGATTTGAAACCATATAGTGAGTCACTTTCGGATCTCTCCACAACAGGATCTGAGGCTGGAGTAGATACAGATGAGGACTAAGGTTACTGATAGTGGATTTTTTATGTATATAATGTAAATAAGGGGGAATCACGTGATTGCAATCTAAATAGTTTTAGTAAATAATAGTTAGTACTAGGTAATATAAAATATAAAATTTAAAAAGATGATTTAGGTATGAGTAGGGGAGTTCGTGTGCTTGTGGAAGCATAGGTTATCTCAATGCCTACTGTGGACGGTAAAAGAGCCCTAGCCATTGCTAAGCATGCATGGGAACTGCTCAATTTGAACTTGAGTTGTCCACTTATAAAAAAAAAACATAAAAAAATATATAGTGTACATATTTGTAAATATTGGGTCCTAATACAAAGGTTATTTTCTTGAGAAGCTCTCAGGAAATGCATGAGTTTGTAACTATTTTGTTGTTTTTTTTTAAAAAAAAATTTATTTCTTTTCTTGATCCAACTGTCCGAAAGAAGGATTAACACCTTTACCCTATGGTGCCATAGAGGAATAATAGGGGTGCCTATCTGAGAGTCTGGATTATTTTCTTCCTGATAAAGGAAGAGTTCACATAAAAAATTTTGCCATTTCATGTCAAATTTTTTTTACTTGGGAAGGGGGTGATTGTAACGTGAAAAATGTCCATTTCACGTACAATGTAATTTTTTTTGATTAAATATATCTCAGCTCGTTTGTTAAAATAAATATTTTAATAGTCAATAATTGTTTACATTAATTCAAATAATTTTAATTCTAAATGAGTTCCTATTAGGTATGCAACCAGTTAATTATAACCTAGTAATGTGTTTAGTATAACAATCTTATCCCATAAATCAGTTTACTCAGTGTGTATCTATGGAGAACGAAGTTCTATGGGTATTGTAATTTATTTTCTGTCAGTTGTCGATATATTTTTGACATCTGAATAATTCTTGCCTTTCTGATATACGCTTTCGTAGAGGAAAGTCGAATTTTGGTTTCCTTTAAATCAAGGGTAAGAAATTAGAGTCATTCAAGTTTTTTTTCAAAATTTTATGTTAGTTAATTTATTTCAGGGTTTGTAAGAACAAAAAAAGAAAAATAAAACAACCAGAAGGGAATTTTGCATTTTTTTGCCGTCTTAGCTGACATGTGTTTAGGCGTCTGGCCTTATCCAGAATTAACTAGTAAAATCTAGTTTTTTTGTTGCAAAATGCTGATGTAAGCAGTAGAATTCACACTGGTGGATGCAGTTTTTTACATATATTCACACAATTTACATTGGGATACAGTATAAGGGATCAAAGACAACTTCCATGAGGTTAGAAGCGGTCTAACAATTTTCTTTTCTCCAAGAATCCTGTCAATTTGAGATAACACTTTGTCCAGGGTAGCCGGTTCTGTGCTCTTGTTGAATAAGGATTCATCTGGCATCAATTTTGTTAAGGCTTTTCCTTCAGCATCAGCCTGTATTTGGGAAAGTCCCGTTTTCAAGCTGAAGTTTCATGTAAAGTTCACACAAAGGTATTTATGGTGAAAATTAAAATATGTATTTTGAGAGACTTTTCTTTAAATTTAAATTTTGAAACACTTTTTTTAGTAATGATTTAATGAATACATTTTGGGTGATATTAACTGGTATATCTTCATAGGGCTCCACAGTTTATCCATATTTTCACATGTTTTCATAGGTGCAAACTGTTTAATTTTGACATTTCTTAAAATGAGTATTTTTAGCAGCTTTTATTTTTAATATTTTGACAAATGTAAATTCAATTATAGTAAAATATTTCATTTACAACATATAAATTTGCTACTATTGTATTGTCTAATTTTATAACAGATCTTTAAATAATTTCATCAACACCTGTAATGTAAACTATTAATTTTTGAAGTACTCATGATCTTGACGGGGATGTTTTGTTGTCAATAAATGAGACATTATATTTATGATCTGTGCCAGCTCAGTCAGCTATTATTATGGTTACTCTGATGTCTGACTACATAAAAACAATTTTTTCTTTGTTTAACCTTGACTGATTAAAGAACTCAACCAGAGAATAAAGATAAAAAAAATTTATTTAGCTTTTTATTTCTACAATAGTTTTAATACAACAGGATCTTCTTTGAAGTTAGGAATTTAATGATTTTTATATATTTTTTTCCCTATAGTTTTTGTATAAAAAATAGGGTGGCGTCCAATACATCTTTAGGTCTGGTACAAGGTAAGATTAACAGAATCCCCCATTATCCACTGTTCTACGACGACGACTAGCCAGGACACAGTTTGCAAAGGGATGAGTTTGCATAGATTCTATCCCCTGACAAGAACACTTTAGTAACAAATTAGACTTGTCGAACTGTGCATATTTCTAACCCCTACTAAGGACAGCAAGAAGGAGTTATAATGTTTGCTTCTTCTTCTTCCTACTTTATAGATAGGCTTAATGCCTGTTTTACTTATGCCATTCTTTCGATGTGTTGATTCCATTCCACTTTTCTTCTTCTGATGCACTCGTTTATTTCCTCTATACCACATCTCGCTCGTATTACCTCACTTCTTACTCTGTCTCTTAGAGTTTGGTTTATTATTTTTCGTAAGACTTTTATTTCTGTTGTTTCCAGCAGTCTTTGTGTTTTCGTCGTATCTTTTCTTGTTTCCGCTGTGAACGTCATTATCGGTCTTATTGTTGATTTTTATATCCTAGTTTTTGTTTCCGTTGTGAGGTATTTGTTTCTCGAGATTCTGTTCTGAGACATCCTGCTGCTCTGTTTGCCATGTTCACTTGTTTTGTACTTCTTCTTCCACTTTTCCGTAGTTTGACAGTTTTATAATATTTGTTTATTATATTAAATTATTATTATACCTTCGACCAAAAGAAAGATCAGGCTGATTAAGTTTCGTAGGTAAGTAGGTGGACGGAGTCCACTAAACAGATTTATTATTTGTTTATGTAGATTGTTAACTAAATTTATTTAATTATTAACTGTTGATATCTTTCCTTGAATTTGATCTCAGAACCTAAATATCTTTTCTTATCTCTTTTCTTTTCTAAGGTTTCTTAATTTGCTCCTTAAACCTAAAAAAGTTAAGTGGCGTCCTGTTTCCATCTTATCTTATCTTTGGTAATTTTATCCATCTACCCTTTTGTTTATTTCTGTATCTTTTCTAATATATCTTATCCTGTCCTATATTTACTTATTCCGTTCGTTCAACTCATTTCTGGTTCCAAAAGCTAGTTTCGAACCCACGACTCGCTCTCCACCAACCATTTGGCTGTTGTCCGCAGTGTCTTCATTGGTGAGCTTTCTAGCACCATCCAAAAAAGGTTTCCGAGGTTACTAACATTTTTTAACTTTATAAACTATTATGTTTAAGTTACAACAGGAATAGATAACGTGGAAACGTAAGACTTCACTGGAGGTTGCTAGTCCTGAGACGAAGTGTCTACGAAGACTTGTTGATAGCAACTGATTAAAATGACATGTTAGGACAGAAGTCGAAACAAAGCAGTCAATGTAACCTGAGGTATGTGTTTAAATATGACAGTAGCCAGCAATATTTAAAATTGAATATTTTAAAATTTTATTATTAATAACACTAGCAACCATCAATATGTTGTGGTAAGTATGATTTATCTTAAAATTAAGTTGAAAAATTTGCAAAATTGGCTATTAATGCAGGTGAACTATAGTTTGGTAAAAATTTGTCAGTACAGGCAGGCAACCAACTATGCAGAATTCAGTGGTGGTGATATCTTTATAACTTATTACATATAGTATTGGGCTACAATATATTTTTCGACAAGACTCTTAAACTTTAAAGTAATTTTCAAGAAAATTTTATATTTTCCTTTAAACATTTTATACGATGCATAAAAATGGGTAAGTACGTAAAACTATAGAAGTTTCTGAATTAATATGCATTACCTGGGATCAACATTGGCTGTGGCTTCGTCTAAAACAAGAATCTTGTTATTTCTTACGATCGCTCTAGCTAGACACATCAATTGTCGTTGACCGGTACTGAAATTTGAACCCCCCTCCCGTATTTCCATGTCAAGGCCAGTAATTGAATGTTTCAACTCCACCTGAAAAAAAAAATTGGTAATTAAAATCGTTTTAAGACTTTTGCCTGAAAATTAACAACAAACCTGTCTGTAGCAACCCCTACCTGCTGTTTAGTTACATTTTTAAGCCTCTGTGAGTAAGGGGTCGAGTAAAGAAAAGTACGGGCAGTAATACAACTGATGATGTTGCTTTCATCAAGTCCTCGCAGACACACTGTCTCAGGACCAGCAACTTCACGTGGAGTAATACGTCACCATGTTACCGAATCCACTGGTAACTTTAACATCATAATATTTAATGTTTTCTATTTTCTTTCCAGCTATTTTCATTAACACATAATCTCTTTGTTTTAAAGCGTGGACATCAAATCTGTGTTCCTTATCAGATTTCTCTGAACTATCTGAACTAGACTAATACATGCTATCTTCATCAGATGTTTCTACTTCAACTTTTTCTTTAACACTCAACACGTTCTGAATAGTTTGTTTGCTTTTCTGCAGCTCTTCTTTTCGTAGTATTTCATTAAAAACGTCCAATTTCATCCTTCTCTTGAGTATCGGTCAAAATTCGGCTTTTAGTTTTTTTTTTTTTTGATTATTGACTTTTAAGGCACGTTTTTGTGATTTTGTAAGAGCACTCTGCAACTGCAACACTAGGATCCTATCGATCGGTTACTGATGAGAAAAAATATTCATCATCTCCAAAAATGTGTTCATTTAGGGGCCAAATTCCTGACACCCTAAATCCAGATAAGATATTTTTTGGCGTAAATTTTCTGCCAATTCAGCGGCATTATATATAGTTATATATTGTTTGCTCTGGGTGGTTTAACAGTCATTCATCACAAGCAGTATTATAGCATTGTTTGTAAGGCTCAAAGATGGTGCTGTTCAAAGGTTGGAGTTCGTGACTCGTATGGGATAGCAATGTTAACAAAGTTTAATCCCATTATTTTGGCTAATATTACTGTTTAAATTTAACAATGGCTTTCGTGATTATCCAATATTAATAACCTCTGGTTCTCTGCACTTTTTCTTTTTTTTTATTAATAAAATATTGCAACCACAAAACAATTTTTTTAAATTGGACCATCCAGTTATATGATCTGATCCGGTTGAACCTGCTGGCACACCACTCATCATGTACAGTTTAAAGTTGACCCTAGAAAATATAAACATGGGCGGTACACTACTTCCCAAAGCGTTAATGCAGGCTATCATTGTAACGTTTGAGCTCCTTTCGCCAGATGTAGCAGCGCCTATTTGTTTTTGGCCCTTAGGTGCAAATATCTTTGTAGTGTTTTAAACCGTGCAATTTTTAGTTTCGTCCATGTTGAAAATGTCTGCTGCTGTAAATGTGTATTTCATAATAACCTTTTTCAAATTTATAAAAAAAAACCAACATTATGTATGTTGAAGCTCGTAGCCCTAAAAAAGTTAGAAACCTGAGGCAACGGGCTTCCTATAACTAAATTCCTGATGTCTTTTAATAAACTCCCGGAACCACTGCTTTCCAGCTTTTCCAGTTGTCCTACAAGATTCAGGAATATTTTTGTTATTTAATTTGTCAAAAGCTCACGCTAACGATCTAAGCTAATTTCTGTGAAGACATAATGCATTTTTGATGAAACAATGAGATATTTTACGAGACTTGCTTCCTCTATCGAAGTACAGACTGCTTTACCGCACAATTTTTATAGGGCCTGTAATCTTGAAGTTCGTTTTCATCGACTAAATAGTCGTTGAAGGGTTGCCCTCGAAACATCAAAATCGACGCTGGCTTTCCGCTGACACCATTCCGTTTTAACTGCAGCTACAGCTAGTGTAATTTAATCTTTACTAAATCCTACTTTTTTCACTTTATTTTTACTTCTAGGCATCTGTATATTAAAAAATAATTGCTGTATCTATTTGCTTAAGTTTGTATCTGGTTATTTTTTATATCTTTAACTGCTACACACAAATATGCACAAAAATACAGTCTTTCAATTAAAAAATACAACTAGCAAATTAAGTTAGAGGTATCATGTACCTTGGGCCACGGCACAAGGTACGTCCCCAACCTGGCTCAAGGTACATGACCATGTATAAAAGAGTAAACAAAATCGCATAACCCCAAAATAATGTATAAAATCAACAAGAAGTGTATCAGATATATTAGATATAAGTAAAGTATTCCCTGCAATAGATAAATAGTTTCTATACTAACTTTTGTTTATCCTACATAAAACAAGAATTATAAGGAAACATATTACTTTAAATTCCCAAAATCACAATTTCATAAAAAACACGTGTAGCCGTCGATCTAACAATAATCAAATGACTGGGATTCGTATTTAATGCGCAGACGATGCTTTACATTGATGCCAGCCCATTCATATGAAATATATTTAGTAAGACGGCTCGACAACCTGCTAGAAGAGTGTCCAATTTTCTTTGTAACATCAGCATAAAAAGAGTCAAATCATGCTTTTGATCTTGCAAAATTATTTGCACAAAACATTTTGATACACAATATTTACAGACAAGAAAAATTATTTTGCCGTGTTCAATTTTTTCGTATATTTTGACAAATATCCTTTCCACTCTGTCTAGTCAAGTTTGCCACGTTTTTTTTTCAATGGTCTTTCTGAACAATTTTCCTTTTGGCACCTTTTACTGCGTTTTCTAAAATAGCTTTACGACTAGCCACTGTTTTAAGAATACACTTAAATTTACAGTAAACAAATAATATAAACTTCAATCACATTGTCAGAAATTCACCAAAACAGAAATAATTTAGAGGTGCAAATCTTTCTTAGCCGTTTTAACATTAAAAAAGTATTGCACCAATGTAAAAACCGCAATATCGTAAAAAAATTTGGTGGACTAACAGAGAACAACATGAAGAATTCAATTCTATGTTCTCCGTAAGGTCATAGGTCTATAGGCGTTTTAGCCACGGTCCCAATTGCAAACGCAAATTAGTTTGCTTTAAAGATTCAAGAGACAAACCAATCCATCAAACCAATTTAAATCAATAAATCAAAACACATCTTTTTTAGACGTCGGTAAATCTTGATATTACAGATATACCAGAACAACTAAAATGTGTTAAATATTTTAGCAATCAAAAACATTTACCTTTTCTAATGCATCCCACAGCTGCTCATCACTAACAGTTTCAAATGGATCCAGATTATATCTAACAGTCGCTGAGAACAGAACTGGTTCTTGCGGTATTATAGAAATGGTTGATCTTAATTTATGAAGCTCTACATTGACAGTATCCACGCCATCAACTTTTACTGATCCTTCTAATGGTGAAAGTCTAAATAATGCGGATACTAGAGAGGATTTTCCAGCGCCAGTTCTGCCAACTACACCAATCTGAAACAATGGTTGAATAAATAATACTCACAAAAATGTTGGATTATATTCAAATGGTCTACTTACTTTTTCTCCAGCTCTAAATATAAGATTTAAATTCCTTAGAACGGGAGCACTGTCTAATGTGTACCTCAGGAAAACGTTTTTGAATTCGACTTCTCCTGCTTGTGGCCAATCTTTATCTAGAGATTTATAAGTAGGTATTAAATTATTCACTGACAGTTGTTTCTTTTCCTCTATTTCTTTTTCCAAATTTGTATATTCAAGTACTCTCTCTACACTGGTCATGTTATTAGCTACTTCTGCAGTTTGGCGAACGCCCATCTGTAACATTCCTGTTAATATCAAGCACTGTGATAAGACAAGACCAGCGTTTCCCGCAGAACTTGGATCTGCAAAATATGGTTCATATTTAATAAAAAACACAAGTAACTAATATCTAATCTAATAAAAGGCTAGGATGACACGTCACGCAGTTTGTCCGGGACGATAGCTCCTAGTAACATCTATAAAATAAATCTGAACTACCAACGGTTGATTTATTGCTAATTCATTCTACAAATTGAAGATTCAAATAATCCTATTCGGAAATTTTACTTTATAAGTAACTAATTTTTTCGCAAAATTGCTAAAAATATAGGTTACTGTAATTGTAAGGTAAGATATATTAAGCAAAATAACTTAAAGCTTTATGTTAGAAGTAAAGGGGCTACTCGGCTATTTTTTTGTGTTTTGTGGCGGGGGTAGGATAGTTCATTAGATCTTGGATCTTATTACCGTTGTTATTCGTCCGATTGGTGCGCGTGATTTGTTAAATGAAAGGGAAGGATGTAACTAATATATTAAGATAGGAAAACAAATAAGGCGAGTATCAAAAGGGTACTGCACAGTATTTTTATTATTAATAAACGTATAGCGACATACCAGATATAATAGGTGTATACTATACCCTATGAATAAAACTATGTAACTAAAAATAGATGTACTGTAAAAACAATTTTGATATATTGACTTAAAAAATGACTTTGGCTAAGCATTAAACAAATAACTGATCGAATTCTAACATGCGACGTGGCAAATGAAAAGGAAGGATATAACGAATATACTAAGATAGAAAAATCCAACAAGGCGACTACTAAAAGGATACTACACAGTATATTCATTATTAATGTACATATAGTTACAAATGAGATATGATAGGGCAGTATGGATAAAAATAGATAAATGTAAAGACACATTTTAATTTATTGACTTAAAGAAAACCTCTTGCTAAGCATAAAATAAACAACTGATCGAATCCTAACATGCGACAAAGTATATGAAAGAGAATGATACAACGAATATATTAAGAGAAAAAGACAAACAAAATGGCTACCAAAAGGGCACTACACAGTATATTTATTATTAATAAACGTATAGCGACATACAAGATATTATAGCACACTATGGATGAAAATAGATTCACTATACGACAAATTTTGATTTATTAACTTAAAAAAGCTCTCTGGCTGAGCACAAAATATACAACTGATCGAATCCTCACATGCGACATAGCAAATCAGAAGTGCACGAGATCATACATTATATTTATTTGGTTGACATGAAAGTAGTTTATTATTTTAAAAATTTAATAAATGACTGAAGATGGTAATTGATTCGATCCCTGTTGACTTTGACAGATAAAACGACTATATTAGTAAAAACAAACACTTTTCATAAAAGACAACTATAAATTTGAGATTTATTTTAAAATGGCAAATTTTATTTTATACAAAATTCTTACTAAAGAAGAACTATCACATTCTTACCAAATCACACTAAAATTGTATGCTTAAGTCAGTTTCTTTTAATTATTTTTAGTTTCAGAAATCAACGATGTAGTAAATCGTTCAACGAGCTGTTAGTCCTATGTCTCAAGTTAATTGAGTCTGTCTAGAATAATTTCAAGTTTACATCATCTGCTATGTGGTATGTCAGATTTTGCAGAAATTCCGTAGATTTGGGAAAATGTTGACTTAGCAACGTTGCACTCTGGTACGCTGTTAGAATTAAATAAGTAAATACACTGTAAAATTAGTAAATGGTATAGTACTATAATAATTAGGGTAAAACAGATAAAATAAATGAATAATCAATAATTAATGACTACGTCGTTACCTACCTGAGTTGTCAAATATAAGGAACTGGTACGTAACTATACCGATAAAAACTGTACTTATACAATCTAGGTAAAATCCAAATACTTCGCAGGCAGTAATGTATAAGTACCAAGCTCCTGAACTATTGTCCATAAGACCGTCAAATTCTTGGATAACCAAATCTTCGCACTTTGATGCTCTTATCGTTGTCATTCCGTCCAGAGTGGCGATAACATGGGAATATACTGGAGCTCTACCTAATAATAAAGTAAATATTAATTGCACCCAATTTTTAATTTGTGTATTACGCGTACGAACCAGTCACAAGGTTCTACAATCTAATGTCATATCGACTTAGAGATATATTTACATACATTGTAGTTTTTTTCTTTAAATTTGAATTTAACCCTGAGGTGGTAGCGCTTCTTTTAAATACAAATTTTATAACGACGGGTTCACCAGACCCGATATATAAATATAATTATATTTTTGTATATTTTTAAATATTTGCTTTGTCTTTATCAATTAACTATCTTCTTATAAATACGTATAATGTGAATAAGATATTGAATAGTACCTATATTATTTTTATATCTTTTGACATTTGTTTACAATCTTACATTTTGATACAAATAAAACGTTTATTGATAAAAAAAGATTATTTAACCACTAATAAAATATGATATATTTATTTTAACCTTCTACCACTGACGTGTACTTTCTGGAACATAACTACGGATGTGGTGCCATGTAAACAACATATAATTTATATTTAGTATTGCCAACATTTTTTAAAAATATGACAAATTATGTTTAATATAATTTCTTTGATATCGTTTACATTAGTGTATTTTTTTTATAATATTTTTCCAAATTGTCAGTTATAACACATATTATAAATTACATGTCAAAATATCCTAAATATTCAAACGGTTTACTAAAAATGTTGTAATTTTTATATTGTTTAAAATATTTATTAAGCAGTTATGGAAAACTAAAGATCAAATATACGAAATATGAAAAAACAAAATAAACCAAAAAAATAAATCTCCCTTATAAAAAACTACAACGCCCAAACTTTAGCAATTTTGGAATTCAGATAAAAAGTTACTTTGCACATTCTTTACAAATATTAGCTCTGCAGTTATCACACATTGATATCTTACAAACATCACATAAATTCTTATTCTCTTTTTCATTTTTTCGTGGATAGAGCCCACATCTTTTTCGTTTTTGGTTCATATCGGGATGCACGTTTTCATCAATCATCGGTTTGTTCAGTATTCTACTGATGTTCATTCTCAATTCTCTTGGAAGTCTTTGGTTGATAATTCTTCTATTCAAATGTCGTTCGCACAAATTCTGCCCGTAGTATGTTATTTTCTTCTGGATAGTTTTAGTGAAATATATATGAATTACCTCTTGCAATGTCGATAATGGAATAAAATACCGCTATAGGCCAACGCCTAGTACGTCTACTTGAACTATAAATTGCACATTTTTTATCTAGGACATCTACGCCCCCTTTGGTTTCATTATAAAAGACAATCATTTCAGGTTTACCAGTTTTAACATCAGTGTATTTTTGTTGATGCATCGTAAAAACTAAAAGTACAGCTTTGCTTTTCCTTGGAACATAAACACAATTGTAATATTTTTAATAATACCCCAGATACAACTCCCTACTTCTCTCTTCCGGTTGGTCAAAAATTCGGTGGGAATTTCTTTCTTGTTCTTCTTAAGCGTACTTACATACGGTAATCCTCTTTGTAGCAACTCATTGGCAAGTTCAATAGAGGAGAACTAATTGTCTGCAGTTACATTTCTGTTGGTATTTATAACAGATTAAATAAGTTTTACAATCGATTGAGTTGGTACAGCTAAACTTCTTTCTTCATCTGCTGCAATAATTTGCCATCGCTACCTTTGCCGGTATAAATAGAATACGTGGCATCAGTAAGAATCAAGACCTTCAGACCATACTTGCTGGGTTTATTTGGCATGTACATGCGAAAACTGTACACGCCCTCTAAAACCTATGAGCGTCTCATCAATACAGGTGTAGAATGTCATTATCGATTTGACACCTCCATATGTTGGTGTAAAAATTGCCGAGTCCTTCAAGTGAGGAGCTCGACGGCTACCCGCTGAGGGTAAAACCACTACTGACTTAAGATCCGAAAATGTCCCATATTTAAAGTTATTTTAACTTTTATATGAAACCTTTTCATTTCTCAACCAATTAAAATAATTAAAATTTTTAAAAAGGAAGGACTAGTCAAAGTCGAGGCGCGTGATTGGTGCGCCTGGACGTCATGCAATCCAGTTAGACTGTTATAGTAAAATAATACGCCTAAGTACGCTAGCAGCGACCTCTACACGAAGCGACAAGGAAGTCTCTTCGATTGCGAAGGAAGTAAAAAGCAAATCCAAAGCTTACTGAAAACTATTGGACGATGCTAGGGATACACGTTTAACCATTTTTTAAATGATTCCAGTAATAATCATGTATGTAATTTTATTTAATAGGTCTGTCTACTTTGAAAAATTGAATTAAAACTTTTTCGCAGTTTTGAATTTGAGAATATGTTGTTTAGATAACTGTTGAGAATCATTTATACTGTTGAATACTTACTGACTCCTTCCAAGCGTTTCACGTCTTGAGTCGTTTTTAAAAAGAGCAATCTGAGATAGTAGAATAAAATTCCCATAATTACTGCTGGTATTATCATCCACACTATTTTAATAAACACCAGTATAAGGATACCTAAAAGGACCAACAACATTTGTGTACCATCAAGCATCGCTTTTGGTAAAAACTCGTCAATGATTCCCATGTCATTTGAAAATCTGTTCAGGATTCTTCCTAAAAAATAACATTGATAAGATTTATTCTACAGAGCGTAGCTATAATAGACCAGTTTCATTATAATCCACCTAAATATAGTTAGTTGATACATTTTACCCTGCAGTAGTCGCGCGGACTCCCGCTCCATAAAAATCTGTTTTTTTTTTATGATATTTTAATCGTTTCGCCTTTGATCAGTTACGCTAAGCGCACACACATCGAATTTGGACTGTCGATAAAAGTTCGATCGAACAAATTCCTTTGGTGGCGCGAAGAAACAAACGTGAGCGGGCACATACATCGATCGCCAAACGGCACGGCATCGATGTCGGGTGATGGTCGTGTGTAGATCGATGAATGTCACTGCATTCACGGCTGCCGTGGTCGTTGCCGTCGTTCCAAAGCGTATAGTATCAAATGAACGCGCGCACACAATCGATCTTTATTGACAGACCAGAGAGGACCAGTTGCGTTTTTTTGACACTGCTCAAGGTACGTCGCTCCGTGTTGTTACGTGGTTCTGTGTTGCTCATTGTGATTTTGTGTACTCCACCTAACAAACCTTTGTGGATTAAAAAACGTCATCTAATAAATATCGTGTAGTGTGCGCGCAAGGCATCATCGACAAAAGTTCGGTCGAACTTTTATCGACCGTCCAAATTTGATGTGTATGCGCCTAGCGGTACTGTTCTATATAAGTAGCGTTACTAGTTTTATTTAGAGTGCACGCGGTATATATTCTACAGGTATAGTATACATTTTAAAGTAAAAATTCTTTAAGTATAAACGGCAAATTACGAAAGAAAATATCTTCATCGCTAAAGGAAGAATGTTTGACTGGAGAATAATATTCCGAAAACGATAAAACTTTGAATTAATGAAATTTTTTGCGTTGTCAAACAATATTTCTTAAGTAAACCAAGAAACCAATGGAAAAAATAGAAGGTGCGACTAAAAAAACTTTTTAGAACCAAAAAAAATTTAGTTTTAAGGAAATATAAGTACAATATAATACATTTTTCGGTTTGAAAAATTCCGCAATAATTTGTAATGATTGTCAAGAAGATGCTTTAAAATAATAAAAAAAACCTTTGTGTTAAGTATAACTAAGTTTCCCTAAAGAATTGGTAATGTAATTAGTACTTTTAAATTGAAAAAGGAATGATTGTATTATATAACTATGTTTTTACATTTTCAGTTTTTGAAATTTTGAAAATACAGATTGAACGAATTTAAAATGGATCATACAATTTAATATATGTCTGTTTAAACTTTATTTGAAATAGTGGACCAATATAAAGCTTGGACAAAAATAAATCCATACCCGGTGATAGACATTGTATAAAATATCCTTCAACTATCTGTCTCCTTTTAGGACGCACCGTAGTCTATAGTGCCGCCAAAGTCAATGTTGCCAATCGCCGTCTAATAATCCGATTTGCGGATCTTTTTGAGAGTTATATCTTCTTCGTATCTTTAAAAATAAATCGCATATTTGCCTATATTTTTTATTGTATTTACCATTCTACTACAACAGACTAATAACAAAAATAAACTTAATGGTTTGTAGTTATTTCCTTTCTTTCGTGTAAATATTTTATGGTTAACACCTTATTTGAACAACATCTAGAGGGATCAGATTGGCAACACCCCTCAAAATATCCATCTAACTGCTTAGAAAAACGATTGCCTAAAGCCGGCCACTCACGATACAGCAGCGTTGTTCAACTTCGTTGAGTTCGACGAATTGACAAGGATTTTGATCATGTGTGACCGTGCATCCAATGAAATCATACAATTTAACAGCAGACAGACTGGCCTGTCTGCTGCAGTACTACAGAATTGATCTCATCAATCGCGTTGCCAGAGTGCTGGCAACGGATCAGACGGTTTACAAAAAAGCTTTCGTTTAAAGTTAGTATTCCGTCCCCAAACTGTGGATCGTTTAAGATTTCCGCCTGTATGTAAGGCATCTCCCCAGCGCCTATGGTTGCAGTGAGAGGAAACTCCACTGCAACATCTACGACGTGTTGCAGTCCGAAGACGACAAAAAACCAACTGTGAGATTTTTAGAGAATTGCCCACCGAAGACAACGTTGTGGAAGAAGACTTAAACGTCTTAAAAACAAAGACCACGCAGAGGAAAACCGCGGAACAGAAAATAACACAACGGATAGTTATGTACCGCTAAACAAACGGCCAGCCATAAAGAGATTGTGACATAGAAGAGGTGAGGACGAAAAGTCCGAACTAAAATCGTCAGAAATCCTACAAAAGAAGAATTCCGAAATTACGACAATCAAAAAGAAAATAAAGGAACTTTAAGAAACGATAGTTCCCTCACAGAAGTCCATAATTGATCATATGGACTCCAAATTCAAGGATAGGAATAAAGGAAAGCATAATAAAAAATAGGATATGCTGGAAACCCAGGCCAACAAGAATAAAAAAGAAAAAACCAGGCCAAAAAGCCAACAAGCACTCAGCCATAGAAAATAAACTTAACGAAAGCAATGCCAAAAAACAAACACGTAGCTGAAAAGCCAAAAAATAACAAAAAAAAAGAGCTAAAAAATAAGAAAAAAGAAAGACTTTCCTCTGCTAGTGATCTCCAGGTCAACAGCAAACGAAAATGCACAAGAGGGTGGTGCGCAAACAGCTTAGAGTCCTCTCTGAGCCGCCTGTAATTAAAATACAAAGCGTGACCCGAACTGATGAAATTCTAGATATTGCAGAGCAACAAAGCATAATTACATCCAACAAGCTGTCAAGAAGTAGGAGAAGGCAAACGTTCATTCAGGCAAAAAGCCCTGAAGATTACGGGAAAATGATAAAAATAATCGAAAATTTCAACGAAACTACGCCGTGGATAGCCTTCCTATTAGAGGAAGACGTCAAACCACTTATGGTAATAAGAGGATTACCTCCTACTAGAAATACCAAGGAGATGATCGAAACTCTAAGAGACGAACACAACATAGAATGTGTCTCAATAAAAAATATGATATTTAGGAAGAGTAACAAGAGTTATGTTTGTCATGACATTGGGGAAAGAAGACGTTCAGAATGCAGAGGGCTTCACCAATTTGATACACATGAAGGTCCACATCGAGGACCTTAGAAAGGCAACAGGGCTCACGCAGTGGTTCAACTACCAGGGATACCATCACGAACAGACAGCATACTTTAAGACACCCTGATGTGTAAGGTGTGGCGAAAACCACCAAAGTAGAAACTGCCAAAGCCTAAAAAAGAACAAAAGGCAAAATGTACAAACTGTCAGGGACAGCACCCGGAAAACTTTAGAGGGTGTGCACTAGGAAACTAAGTTCCTGTAGGAGGCTGTATACCATGTATCACAAAAAAAATATTTAAAATCTTTTATAAAAGGTATATAATAAAATACTCAAACGGGCTATATCACAATTACATTACAGAATGTTTTCGGAATAACAATTCCATTATCAGTGTAACGAAGTATACATGTTCTGAGCCATTAAAACATATGGGTAAAAACCCGTTAAATGTTGTTAATTTAAAAATTTTGTTACAATATATGTTATTACAAATTAAGATGTTTAAGTTACCATTGGAATTGGTAATATGGCGACGTATGAGTCTACATAGTTTAAAACGTCCTGAGACAAAGTGTCTTCAAGGACCTGTTGTTATCGAGATAAGCGATGGTGGAGCGAACATGTTTGTGTAGAAGCAAGCAGATATATAGTAAATCTGTTTTGTTAAGAGATTTATAGTTTCAAGAAGTCCGTGGGCAATTTGATAACTTTATTCGTATGTCTTCGATAAATTTTGAAAAATTAAATAATAAGATCAGTCCTAAAATAAGCAGAATAGATACGAAAAATGATGAGAATGTTTTTCTTCCCCTAAAATTGGATGTTGTTCATATTTGTCAATTAATTACAAGCATTTATCGGTACTTAATCCCATTCTTAAAAAAAAAACTCGAATTAAACAATTTTTAACTAAAATAAATCTGTACAGTGTATGAGCATAACCGCTACATTCACCAATATCATTTAAACTCGTTCAAACTGAACAAATTGCTGCGTAAATATTCTTTGATGTCGTCCAAAAACTGACTACTGATGGAGAGCATTCGTGCAAGTTAAGTTAGTTTATACAAATTTCATTGACATCAAAACTAAAACTACATACTTCAGCCAAAAATCAGGCAAATATCATTCTGATAACGCTAATTAAAAAAATCATTGTTTTTTCGCTGCCTTCCACTAAATGATTAATATTAAAATATCTAAATAATATTTTTTATCTGTAATAAATTACAAAATATGTAAAATACTGTAGTGAATAATATTTAGTAATACAAACACAACAGTTTAACAAAAAGAAAAACGAATAAAAAATATATTCTTTTGTTTGTCTATGTATAAACTTTTTCGTATATTTTTCAGCAAACTAACAGTATAGACGAGAAAGCTTACCTGAAGGATTCGTGTCAAAAAACCTCATAGGTGCTTGTAAAACCTTACTGAACATATTTTTGTGCAAATTTCTTGAAGCATTCATAATAATTCTGTAGAAATTTAAGGATCTGATTGGAGTCAGAAGAAGTGCTAGACATATTGTGACACTATAAATAATTATATAATAATTTGAATCTCGAGTAAACTCTTCTCGAAGTGGAATATTTTCATCCACTACTGAATAGTTGTACTTGCTATAACTTCCAGAGGAGCTATGATTTGCAACAACTATTTCCAAAGATGGCGTTGTTGTACTATTCGCTGCAACAGTATTTACCCTAGAAGTAAAAAATAAAAAGTAATTAGCATACATGTAAGTACCAAAACTAATCATATGAATGTATTGAGTGAATTATTTAATTCTTTAACGTGAGTCGACGATTTAAATTGGCACAAATCTACCGAAATATTACCCATACACACTAATTCACATTTGCACATACACTCATATTACGTTTTTCTTATGATAAACAAGTTTAATCATTATAACCATATCTTGCAATAATTTTATTCCTGGTAAAGAATAAGAAAGTCATATTATAAAACGTTTTTATCAATAATAAAAACATATTTATCCAGAATAATCCATTCGTCGGAGACGAAAATGCCAATAAACCTCTAAGACGCAAAAAAATCTATTCACCAGGAATCTGTACATCGCAGAAAAAATGTTTCAAATAAAAAATATAGCTGGGATAATTTTAAACAACATTGTTTTATATAGTTTAAAATAATTATATAATTCAATTAAAAGTCATTTTTAGCATAGTATATCTATAAATTTTATTATATTTTATCTTTAAATTTCAATCATATTGTATTTATGTTGTTCTTATATGGCGATAAGTCTTAGCTTTTTCTTATATTGGGTAGGAGGGTCCCTGATATTGTAGTTACGCCACTGAGTGGGACAGTTCGATTAAGTCCTGTTTGTTTAAGATCACTGAGATATGTTGCAAAATATACATTGCAAAATGAGTCAGGCAAATACACTCTCGTATTTAACATGACACTAGTATGACACTATCCATTTTTTTGCTTTATCAAAAACGATACACGAAATGATACAAGAAAATGCATAGTGTCATACGGCCTTAAGAAAAATGTTACGGGATACTCAAAATCCTTTTTCACTAAGTGATGCTCAATTTAGGCAGCAATTCCGCCTTAATAAACAAGCTGCAAATTATTTGATAAGGACATTAGAACCATATTTGGAGGAGGGTGTTTATGCCTCTAGGAGACCTAAAATGTTTAGGATAAGTATTACTAAGCTGTAGTAAATTTAAAAATATATTAGAACATAACCACTAAGTCAAAAGCCACCATAATTTCTATTTGGTCTACACACAATTTAGTGCCACCATCACCGACAGCCTCTCCATTTATTTTCTTTCAATTCAAAATATAATAATTGAGAATGGCCACTAAAAATTTAACAACTCAAATAAGAAACAAAAGGCGTAATGTAAACAAAACAAACATTTAACAATAGTTGTGCAGTGTGCAGCCAATAAACAAGACGACCAACTCAAATTCTGAGCAGTGTCAAAATGATAAAGTAAATACCCCCACTTTTAACTAAAATCGAAATGAATAAGAATCGCTAGCGATTGCGACTGTCATAGCGTAGTCGCATTTAAATTTCGACATCGAAATGAAATAGAATCAGGACCCTGTTTTGAAGTAAATGTAAGAGGTGGCATCCGGATTATGAAGAAATAGTTAGGTGATAACTTGGGTAATAATAATTGACTTAGCCTCAAATACCTTAAGACCCCAAAAAACATGCAAAATACTTACTATTCATACCTCCGGCTTCCTTTTAAAATCAACCCCCCCCCGTAAAAAAATCAATTTCCCAAGAATCTATGCGTTCTAGAAAAAAATAATTGCAAATAGAAAATGTAGCTAAGATAGCTTTAGACAAAAATGTGTATAAGCACTTTTTGTATAAAATAACATTTTATGCCTCATACATAGCCATTCTCTTAAAAATATCACTTGAAGCAACGCGGCTCTCTTCTTAGCTCTTTCTTTCAGCCTTAAGTAATCCAACTTTGGACGTAGCCCTCCCCCAAATCAATCCAGTATTTTCTATTTTCCTCCACTTGCTTCCAGTTGTGTCCTCCAATCTTCTTAATGTTATTAGCCCATCTCATTTGTGGTCTTCCTCTGCTTCTCTTTCCTAACCATGGTCTCCATTATTCTATTTCGTGTTTTGGCGAATGCCTTTTCACAATCAATAAAGCCAATGTATAAGTTTAAGTGATATTCATTGGCTTTCTCTATTAGCGTTCTGACTGTAAGACGATGATACGCTGTACTGTAATCTTTTCGGAATCTTGCCTGCTCTACCGGTTGATAGCCATCGAGCTTCAACGTTAACCTGTTAGTTATTACTGTTATAAACAGTTTGTACATTTAGGACAGCAGGGAGATTGGTCTATAGTTCTTCAAATCTCCCCTGCCTTCTTTTTGAAGAGAAGATCTGTCAAACTTTTATTCCAATCTTCTGGGACTACTCTGTGAAGAAATTCGTTAAAAAAATTTTTCAATTCTTCGAGAATAATTTCACTCTCCTTCTCTCTCCTTCAATATTTCTACAAGTGTTCCATCTGGGCCCGGAGCCCTATTGTTTTTTAGTTCTGCCATAGCTTGTTTTTTTTAAGGGTTATATGTTAGGGAGTATTTCTGAATTGACATTCGTTATATTTCTCTTAAGATCTTCCTTTGCAGAGTTATCTGGGTTCTTGTTTGAAGAATATGAATCACTGTAAAATATTTGAGTAACTTTTAGGATTTCGTTCGTTTCTCTTATTTCTTTTCCATGTTTATCCTTTAATGAGATTATTATAGGCTTTTCTAAGTTTAATCTTAGCATTTCACGCCTCGGTTCTTTTCTATAATTTATTCTACCTTGTTGTAGATACGCGGCTACAAAATCGCGGCTACGAAATCACTAAAATTTATCACTTTTCCATTAATTTGTCACTACGGAATTTCCATTGATAATCCAAGTCCAATCTTTAAAACTTATGGCACGAAATTTTGGTTTTAAATTTTGGCAACAAATGTAAGGCATTTAAAATATGCTTATAAACGGTAAATTTAAACTTTTACATTACCCACAATCTAAAAAATTTTAAACTGATTTTTTAATACACACGAATGTTTTTTCACACCACAGTACAGTACGACCAGGATAGCAATAGACGTGAACTGCGCGTTAACCGTTGTAGGGCTGCAGAATTCATTTGTGGGTGTAAAGCAAAATACCGAATTATGTCCTACGTCACAACATAACCAGCTTGGGTTTATTTTGCTTTACACCCACAAATGAATTCTGCAGCCCTACAACGGTTAACGTGCAGTTCACGTCTATTGCTATCCTGGTCGTACTGTACTTCAGCTACAAATTTGTCCCAATGCCATCTTCGTGGAAGTATTTTCCATGGCGTCCTATCGTTTATAATGTAAAAGTTTAATTTCAGCTTTTTTAGGCATCTGTGAAATGCCTCACATTTGTTGCCAAAATCAAAACCGAAATTTTATGCCATAAGTTCTTAAGATTGGGCTTTAATAATTGAAATTCCATAATGACCGTTTAATGGAAATGTGATAAATTTGAATGGTCTCATGAGAATTGTAAAAATTGGCGAAAATATCGCAGCTCGTATTTATTTCACTGTTTTATAAAATCTGACTCAATGAGGTCAAATACAAAAATTGGATTAGTAACAGTCTTTACTGAAGTAAGAAAGAAACACTCTTTACCTTTAAAAGACTATTAAATTTTTGTCGATAGATTACTCTGATAAAAAGATTTCGAATTTTTACCGTCGGATTTATACAAATTTTATTTAAAATTGATTTTGTTATTAATATAGGCGTATGTGATAAATATCTTAAAGATATAATAACTTTTATTCAAGAAGAGATTTGAAAGAATATCGTAATGGTTTAAATATTATCATCCTATGTGTGTGTGGTTGGAATATTGACTGCGAAACCTATGGTTTCATTTGCCTAATCATGTTTGACTTTGATTCTTAACAATGATTAAAATAAAAGCTATTAATATTTAAAATTTACATTATTAATATTTTTAAAACAATATCACTACGTTAAAAATTCTACATTATACAATTGGTAAACTTACAAACATCATATTTTTTATTTATTTATTTTTTTTTTTTTTAATTTTATACAATTTTGTATACAATTTTCTAGTAGAAGGTATCCAGTTTCGTATCCATGCATCCAGTGGTTGTTTATCCATATTATCCAATTCCGCAAGCAGTGTTTTATTTTTTATTTTTTTTTATTTTTAATATTTTTTTTTATTTTGTTTTTTAATATTTTCAATATTTATTTTATATATTTATTATATATATATATTATATATATATATATATATATATTTATTGTTGAAATGCTTTCTTTTTTATTTTGTTTTATATATATATATATATATATATATATTATATTTTTTCTTTTTTTCATTTATATACAAGTTTTGGTATACATTGGTCTTTATAAATTATTGTTTCATATTCTTATTTTTAAACTGCTTATGTATTGATACAGCAACTTATAAACTTCTAAATTGTTAGAAACTATTAACCCATAAAGGTTGATGGGTTTTACTAAAATTTTTATTTTCATAATGGTTTCCATAAAAACATTGGTCTTTATTCTATTTTTACTACAATTTAATATCATATGTTCTAGTGTGCCATATTCTCCACATTCGCAGTTTGGGGAATTTACAATTTTTAATTTAAATAAGTGAGATGGTGCTAGGGAATGATTGAATCGAATTCTACAGATAATTCTGATTGCATCTTTTTTTGTTATAAAATTACAGAACCATGGTTTGGTAGGAATTTTCGGCTGAATGCCTTTATAAAAAAGTCCCTTGGTGGAATGATCATATTTATTCATCCATTCCTGCCTAATTATATTTTTTGAAATAATATAAAGGTCTTCAGGAACTAATGAATAATTTACAACAGTATCGGAATCTAATGCTTCCTTGGCCAGTATGTCTACTTTTTCATTGTGGATGATCCCACAATGAGCTTTAACCCAAACAAACTTAACTATTTTTCCTTCCTCATACAAGTTTTTAAAATTAATTAATATATTTTGTAATATATAATTAATATTAATATTAGTAGATATGTTTGAAAGTTTATGTAAAACACTTTTACAATCTGATATTATTAAAAAAAATTTTTATTAAATAATTTATTTTTAATATATTTTAATGCTT